CATCAATGTATATTTGAAAACTAGTAGAATAAAATAAAATAGAATTTTCTATACGAATTTTATTCAAGAAACTATCCGATTTGAAAAAAAAATTAGAACTCAATAGTAATCACACTTTTCAAAAATCTAACTGTCTATAAAAATCCAAGTCTATGGTCCAATCCAAATCATTAATTTAAAGACCTGGTCAACTTATAGTTTTAATGTAACTAGCCATTGAGTAATCAAATTACCAAATTGACCTTGACCACGTGCAACATATGGTATGCCCCCACAAGAGTTACACTAATTGGTGGATCAAGAATGTGTAGTGTAGTTAAGCCGACTTCGAATCGGTCAACATTTAATAAGTCGAACTTGTCACACATTATTAATATCTTTTGCGCAGTTTGCTCGGTATTCTAAGGATTGTTAAAAAATAAAAATAGAATTCAAACTCTTTCCAAATTTCAGTCCAATCAAATGATCGGCGACTGCCAATATGTCTCGGGGTAACAAAAATGTATTGTTCTGGGGTATATCAAGGTTCAGTCTTCGATTCATATTCCGTCGACCAATTCTTCCTAATTCACATCTTTGTTGAAAGAACTTCTTTTGTAATTCCTTACATAAGGATTCAGAAAATACCGGATCCCCACCTACACAAGCAAATTGTTGATACAACTGCAAAATGGCATTTTCTTTTGATCCAACTTTTTTTTTCTCTCCTTATCATTCAGAAAAGACAAAAAAATTCAGGATAATAAACATTGTCTAGAATTTCTCTTAGATTCGAACCCATTGTTGATGATAGAACTAGAATATATATTTTTTGTTTAATTTCCTACTCACGCGAGCCCATATCCTTGCTTTTCTATCAATCTCTAATTCTGATCTTCCTTCCCAATCTGATATTATGGTGCCGGTATAGACCGAAATTCCGTTATGGTCCAATTCTGACCGATAATAAATACCGGGGCTTTGCAGTATTTGATTGATTACAATTCTATATATTCCATTTACTATAGAAGTTCCTAGGGAATTCATTAGAGGAATGTTTCCAATCAAAATAGTTTGTTCTTGCATATCCTTACTGGTTTTCCAAATTAATCCGCGGATACATATTATTCAGAAGAATATGTGAGTGATTCATACACAACATTTCTTTCCTTTATCACTGGTTCTACCAATTGATATCTTTCCACAAATAATTGAAATTCGATTTCATAATATGTATCTTCAATTTTTGGAAACTTATAAAGTTCTTCTGTCAAACCCTGATCGATGAACCTACAAAATCCTTCAAATTGTATCTGATTAAATCCAGGTATTGTAGACATTGCCTCATTTGGATCCCCGAGCATTTTGAATTTCCCATTTATAAAAAAAATCTCATTCTCATTATTAAGTTAATTTAAGTACATTCTTCATCGAATTAGATCGACGATCTAGCATTGATGGAATTTCTATTCTATTTACTGAGTTCTTTTTACATGAAAGTAAAAATAGTTAATACAAATATTTATGACTATTGATTTTTGTTTGATTTCAAATAAAATAAAAAGATAACTGGCTCTATACAAGTTTCACAATTTCATACCAAATGCAATGAAGGTATGCCCACTAGGTAAAGATAAGATAATCATGCACCGTTGAGTTTAGATGATGAAAAATTGAAAATAAAGTCAAAATTTTCTTTTGTTTTTTGGTTCAAAGTCAATTTATTTGAATTAGGTTATTTTAATTTGCCTAAAAGGCCAAAAAATTGAAGATCATAGCATGGGTTTAGGGTTCTTTTTTGTTTTTTGTCAACCTTTTCATTTTTTATTATATGCCAATGAAAAATGTCCTAAGAGTTTGACTTTGACTTTCAAATAAAGATTCATAAAAGAAAAATTAGTCGAATTAAGAGATAGATAAAACGAAATTTTTTTATACGAGAAAATATGAGTTTCATTTATCAATAGAGGGTTAAGAATTCGTGCTGATTACTTAAAATTAATTTGTTGTTGGATTCGACAGATATAATAGACTGAATTGAGTAAGAAATATTCCTCTCCACGGACAATTTTTTTTATACTAGAAATGCCGTGTACAAGGAAGTATTTCATCGAATTTGAAGGTAGAAAATATTTTCATATTTACCAATTATTATCGAATTTGAAGGTAGAGAATATTTTCATATTTACCAATTATTCATGTAACATGTCTTTTTTTTTAACAACTTATTCATTGGCAGGTGTTTCTTCTCTATATAATTTCCCCCGTGCGATGTTATTTTCAATCATGTCCCTAGGATGCTCAGTGCAAATTTTATTACCTTTAAGATTTATTTTTGACGATATACTAATATTTTAATATTATTCTTATGATGTAACTATGAAGAACATGATGCTTCAATATTGCTGGTCGCTTTTTGTATTTAAATTCAATGAGCGTAATAATTTATATATGCATAAATTTATTTTTCAGACATGTATTTCCAGTTGAAAATATGCCACCCCGTGCATCGCACGGGTGAATATTTCAAAATAACTGCAGAAAACCTCACAATAATGTATTTTGAATTCTCAATAAAATATGAAATAAAATATTTAGATCCTTGTTGATTTTGACATTTTGTCACTAGAATTGAATGAGACGATTGATAATGGAGTATATGCTTTTGTGAACCACGTTTGTGAGAGATAGTGGTTTTGACCGAAAGTCAACGGTGAGAGGTAGCAATAAGACAATCAACTTTCTCAGCACCGTCATCGTGGCCCACTTAAATTCTGACACGTCATATCTCATATGTGGTTTGATTAATTAATTACCACAGCAAAAATATTTGCCTCTGAATTATGAGCAGGTTTTATCTATTATAATAGGGTAAATTACAAATACCCCTGAGGTATGGTCATTTTACAAACAAACCCCTATTGTTTGGATAATGACATATACCCCATCAGTTATGTTTTTTTCTTACACCTCCACCCTTATGATGTCAAATTCAATATAATCATCTAGATTTCGTGGAATGTGCTCTAATTTGTACTCGTTTTGTATAAAAATACAGTTTCTGATGCACCACAATCTGATACATATGCAAGTCAAAAAACACATATTATGATCATCTTGCTTCAAAATGTAGAGTTAGAATGGGATAAACGTGTACAAAAGTGATAATATTTCATATAATCTCGAAGATTCCACTAATTTGAGGAGTTGAGAGAATGGTTGTAATTATCCAAACAAGAGGGGGGTTTTCATAATTTGACCATACCTCAGGGGTGGCTGTAATTAACCTATTATAATAATAAAAAAGAAGAAAAGAAGTAATAATAATAAGATTCCGTTGACAATACAATAGAAGAGTTATTTGTGTTTGCCTAACTTTGAATTAAATAAGAATTTGAACGTGTCAACTTCTAACAAATTTAATTACGAACAGCAATCTAAATAATATTAATTATTAAGCGTACGGAATTTGACTGGTCCTCGTATTATCCGAAACTCTAGGGAAGAATATCTAATATTAATAAAATATTACATAAACCATAGAATATAAACACTGGAAATTTTGGTTAAAATTTTCGTCAAAACTATTTTATATACCTAATAGCCAGCCCGAATACTTTGAATTTGCTTAAACTCTCATAGACAGTTTAATTATCAACTTAAACTGAAAATAGACAATTTATAAATTTCAGAGTTTAGACTTTAGATTGAAAATAGATTGAAAATGGACAGTTGAATTGGATAATTAGGAAAAAAATAGAAATTCTGAACTAAAAAAGGGGACAACCGATGATAATAACCTTTTCCAGTGACGTGCTTGGCGAATTTTAAGCGGTCGGCGGGAAGGGACAGTTAGAGACATTCTCAGTGGAAGAAACGTAAATTTTTTGGAGTGAATTCGGTATTGAAAATTGACGAGATGGATGAGAATAAATTATTTTTCATGGAAAATTAGATGCTACACAATACTATTTACATTGTCTATAATAATGTGTAGATCTACGATTAAGTATACTTAACCAATGTTTAATAAAATATCACTGAAGAATATGCTATATATATATATTGATGGTTTTGATTTACGACCAATTTTTATTATATAAAAAAAATCCGAAACTCGATTTCCATACTATAGTTTCTAATTTTGAAATATTGATTACTTTCATTTTAAGAAATTGAAAATTTTATTTATTTCAAGGTTTTTCGAGACAAAATGTTAATTAGTTTCATAAATGAAAACAATATTGTTTTTTTTTTTCCTTCTTTAATTGTTAATTCCAATTCAATGTATCCTATGTAGAATATGAAAATCGACATCTAATCTTAATAATTAATAAATCACGTGCACGTATTATTATAACTATTAGTTTTATTTATTTATTTAAATAAAACCCAAAAAATAAAGCTTGGCGGTTGTTGATGTCGGCTCCGCCATTGCTCCGGCGACAAAAAAATGAAAGCGTGTATCGGATTTTGAGTTTCCGATTAGAAAAAATAAAAAATAAAATAAAAAAATCCCACTCTCACATATGTGAATTCACACCTCACAAACCTTTGACAAATTAAACTCACTCCTCCATAGTTTTAACAAATTATAAAAAACACCCCACTTGTATTGTAAAAAATTCCTTAAAACACCCCCCACAAAAAAAAATGTCAAAATCAAGAACCCCACAAAAACAAAAAGCATGTAAGAAAAACCCATTTTTTTATTTGTCTTAAAAACATATTCTTGCTTCACTATGAAGATGAAGAACCCATCCCCTTTATATCGGTCGACATTCTTTTATTTGGCGGCGCTATTTTTTAATTCAAAATTAAATAATTAATTATTCAACTCAAATAATTCCCCCTACTATATAAACGTTCTATTCAAGAAAGGCTAATTATTTAAACTTGTCAACTAATTTCTTCAAAGTAATAAAGATCCAATTTTTCTTTCTCCTCCTTCGACAATAAATCAATATTTTTATTAATTAATTAATATTAATATTTATATTTGTTTTAGTTTACATGTGTGTGTTCAACAAGGTGGCGAATCCAAGAGATGAATTTTATCCCAAAAAAAGGGGTGAAATTATAAATAATGTAAATTCCGAGCTTTTCGATCATGGCGGCGGCCGTGAGAATCGGGTATTGGATTCTCTGGTTTCTCCTATGTTTTCTGGCTTCAACAGAGAGCAAGAAATGTCGGCTATGGTGTCGGCTCTTGCTCATGTCGTCGCCGGAGATGAAGGCGGAGCAGCCGCTGCTGCCGCCGTCGGCGGCTCTTCTTCTTCTTCGTCTGCATGCAAGAGGCGGCGCGATGAAGAGCCGAATACTCAGTACTATTCCGAGAAGTCTGTTGCCAGAGTTTGCAGGCCGCCGCCGCCGCCGTATGCTGATTCCTCCATCGGAAGTTCCAACTTCAGACAAGGTACCATAAAAAAAAAATCATATTTACATTTCGAATTCTTAAATTTATATTTGCCATTCTTATTATATATACTAAAAATTTCAAAATTTTTAAATTAGAGAATTTTTCTTTTCACTTTTGTCCTTAATTAACGAGAAGGGTATTTTAGTCATTCTAAAATTTAGGCATAATTATTTTATTAATTGGGTAAATTATGGCCACCTCCTAAGATAATGTTAAATTACGAAAAAAAATTCTCTCATTAGGTAATTACAATCAACCCTTACAATGGATTTTCTTACGCATCTACAGCCTTATGGTGTTAAATTCAACGTAATCTTCTAGATTATGTAGAATATTTTCTAGTTTGTATTCGTTTTGAACAAAAAATGCAGTTTCTAATGCACCACAGGTCCACAATCTGATATTTACAAGCTGAGAGACACATCTTATTATTACCTTATATCCAAACGTGGAGTTCGACTGGGGTAAAACAAATACAAATTTGAAAATATTCCACATAATCTAGAAGATTATACTAAATTTAACCGCAAGGGTAGACGTGTAAAAAAATTCATCGTTGATGGGTAGTTGTGATTATCCAAACAAAAGGGACTTTTTCGAAATTTAACCTTACTCCTAATTCACCTTATATTTAATAGCTTTCTTAATAGGCGCAAATTATTTCAAGCATGAGGAGAAACTAATTAAATCAAATATAATTTAATTTTTTATTTTTCTGCAGAAGGTGGTGGTTCAACAAGCATGGTAAGAACAAGTATAATAACATCAACAGAAGCATCAGCAGTTTACACATATACCCCCACATTATATCATCATCCTCAACAAAACTCCATTAATAACAACGAATCGCCACCGGCATCGAGAATCAACACCCGAAGGTACAGAGGTGTGAGGCAGAGGCCGTGGGGCAAATGGGCGGCGGAGATACGAGACCCTTACAAAGCCGCCAGAGTTTGGCTCGGCACCTTCGACACCGCCGAGGCTGCTGCGGCCGCCTACGATGAGGCGGCACTACGTTTCCGTGGCAACAAAGCTAAGCTCAACTTCCCTGAGAATGTCAAACTCCTCCACCACCCCCACCCTCCTTCGGAGGCCGCGGCGGGGCCCGTTGTTCGTGGCGGAGGAGATGGTGGTGATGATCGGTTTCAATGGCTGAGATCGGATTTCGAGAGGCAGCTGTACAATGTCGGATATGATTATAATAATAGTAATAATGGATCGTTATCGAGTTCAGAGATGATGACTCCTCCTTCTTCATCGGGAGTTGTGATGACTCTTGATGATATACAGAGGCAGGATGGATTGATATCAACAATGCAATATCCGCCACCGGAGACTTCTTATCCCTTATATTATCCGGCGGCTCAGCCGCCTGAGATCGATTTCCGGCCGGAGGGCAGTCACAGCAGTGGAGGTGGAGGCGGAGGTGATTTTTCTTGGACAGATTCTGGTCATCAGACTTCGTCTGGATGATCAATCACCACTTCGCAGGATCAAGAATCCTTTTTTTTCTTTTTCTTTTTTAAATTTAATTGAAGAAAAGATGGAAGTTTTCGATTTTTCTATACGTTTTCGATTCACAAGGGTAGGTTCTTGAGCATTGCTCACCTTTCCCATTAAGCAGTTGAGATTACTGATGAATTTATCATTTAAAAGCCAAGGAATAATAAAGAGAATGATTTTTTAATAGACCATTTTGATGGTTTTTGGTCTATTGATTCGATATATTAATATTTTGCTATGATCGGGATTTATTCGGCCAAGAAATTTCTAATGCCTACAAACGGGATAGACTTGAAATCCAACACAGGACTAAAAAATCAACTCAAAATAAGCTAAACAAAATTAAATTCATTGCAAACCAGATTCATTCAAAAAAGTTGCGATGAATTTAATATTCCGAACTCGAAATCCTCCCTTCAAATCAGTCAAGCCTAACCAAGCCTTAAACAAATAAAACTAGAAGGATTCGTAATACTAGTAAATCGGGGCCAGGAAGAAATGATCACACCAGCCAAATAAGACATTTCAAGCAAAAAAATATCTGCGAATTAATGAACAAGTCATGAAAAAGATTCAACATGACTTTTTCTCATTGGAATTTAAGGAGCTTCTAAGGAAGATTCGATAAATCGCGATCCATAAATCCCGAGTCTTCAAAAATTAAAACATTGGTGACATACATTTGTGAGTGATCTACGATAAAATCCAAACATATAAGCGCATAGACCCAACTCATTCCTCTGCATTAAGTCTAAAGTGACAAATGAATCATTCAAAAAGTAAAAGCATTAAAAAGGACTGGACATGTAACCACGTTTGATATGAAGAGCCGAAGAGTAGCAACAAAAGTCCATCTTGGTCATTGCCAAATCAATAAAACGGACACAGAAACCGGACCTGCATATATTAATATTTACTCAAAATTTGTACCCATGTATTAAAATTCTGAATAAGTTAGAAAAAAAAAATGTTTCCAACCTTTACGTAGAGATTAATCAGCTTTTCAAACTCAGTGCAGCTTTGTGGACCATAGTCTCCTTGTGAATTTGGTGGCAACTCTTCTCTACAAGGTCGAGGAGTTTCTCCAGGTTCGTTGACCATAAGTTTAGAATATCGTTACTGTCTTTGGCTGATTGGAAACAGATCACACCCATTGGTCTGTCGATTTTTGCAATCAATGCTTTGGAGACAACCATTTCAGAGAGATGCTTCTCAGCTTCCTGTGAGATAGTAAAGAGAATGCCGTGAAGAAAACGATAAAGACAAAATTGACTATATAATGCTATCATTGTTTGAAGTTGCAGCTCAGCAGCAATTTCATTAGTGTTATAGATCACGTCACGTTGGGATATAGAGAAACAAATTGACTATTTAATGTTCAAATCTCTCCAGTAGAGAGTAAGATTATAAGAAAACGAAATAAACACATGTAACCACTTTCTAATGCATAGTAAAGACTTATAATTAAGTATCACTAGTTCCTTGGCAATGAATTATACCAACAAACATTCCTTTTTTATGACCTGTTCATTATATAAAGTAGTTCTTTAAGAAAGAAAGAAAGTGAGCTTTGTTGTTAGATACAACATAGAGACAATCTATTATTTTAAACATTCTAGCCCATTATATCTGATGCAACTTTAATATCATGGTAAGATTCATCCACTGTCATCCAATTATGGCCTAGACACGAAAACTTCTGGCATAATAAAGTGTCTACATGAACCAAATTGTATTAGAAAGCTGTTCTCTAAGAAGGATATGGAAGTTCCATTATTAGATAAAATATCTTCAACAAATTGACATTAGCAATTATTATCGGCCATAAGTATCAGTTTCCCAAAGCCATTTGCTTGGATTTCAAAGATAGTGCCAGAATAAGAGTTTTACGTCACAAATAGAATAATGGTCAACATCACACCATATCTGTGAAACATTCAGCAACAAACTATAGCCAATAACATAAGATCGGAAACTATAATTCAAAACTATTAGATTTTTTTTCAGCAAAACGATATTCCACAAACAGAATGCAGACAGACCTGGATGGTAAGGCATAATAGATCAGCAAGCCTCTTCAATGTTATCCGTGCGTAGTATTTTGAGACAACAAGGATGTTCTGCAAGGAATTCATCTTTTCAGTGAGTATTGCATTTGTATACATCTAAGTTGCTATAAAAAACAAAATGATAACATAAAATAAAGCAGTGAAAAGGAATCGCAATTCATAACAAGAAGCGAGATTTAGGAGCAATACATGTTCTATTACTCTAAGTTTCAGACTCTCAGCTGCCTTTTCATCCAAGGAACCACCAAGCATGTTCTTTTCATTCTCAAACTCTTTTTGGAACGTGCCCCACAGAACTGTCCACTGAATAACTTCCATGGTAACTAGTTGTTTCAACAGCAACCTAATGACAGGGTAGAGCAAGTAGTTATAATATCGTGTAGACAAAGAAAGTGGAAGGATTAGTGATAATGATATTTAAAAGGACTAACTTGAAGTCGGGAATTTCTGACAAGTTTTTATCTTCCAGGGTTGAGTTAAGCAGACTAGACTGCATAGGATCGTGAGGAGATAAGACCAAATACCAGCAAATCTTTCTCAACACCTGCAGAGAATATGATCGAAGCCAATGCAACGAAACGAATAATAGGGATTTATTAAAAAGCAACAAACCAAGTCTGGCACGCAGATTTCCAGACACAATAAACGGAAATTGCAAATGTAAATCATTGAAGAACCACAAGAAAGATGTTCATACCGGTATCCACTGAGCAGGGTCTTCTTTCACAGAGGGAATCTCATATATCGACTTGTAACACCGACATATTTCAAGGTAATCGTTGCTATGTGCGTGATAGCTACAAGAGAAGAAAGAAAGCTAATCAACAAGTATACATAAATTAATTATCAACCGATTAATCAACCAGAATAGGGAGGCTGAAAGCAAATAAATAGTTGGATCGAGCAAGCAATAATCATTGGAATCCAAACAAAAAATTCCCATATGCCAGGAAGGATCTAACTTAAATGGCAAAAACCTATACCATATATAAATATTCATAACAAGACGTCACAGAAGATTTTCCAATTTCCCGATAGATAACCCATCATGAACATTATAAAGAATATAACAGCAATGGGCCAAAGACAGCACTAGATTCAGGCTTGTAGCCTCACTTCTTGTATATTTATGTTTGAATAAATATGCATTTCCACGACATTTGTATCATCGGTGATCAGACAGATATGAGTTCTATGAATGCAATTATATCTTGTTCGGTAGAACACAAATTATGATGAAACAATACAAGGGAAAATAAATATCAATTTGACACATACCGAATCATTAATTCGTAGTAGATCCGTTTCAACTCCAACAGTGATGGAATATCAGCAGGAGGCTCTTCAATGATGCTTTCACTTTCTTTGGGCTTCTTCTTTTCTTTGGATGTATCAGCTTCAAAAACCCTAGTACTAATCTTTCTCGAGAGTATTTGTGCACGAACATAATCCTGACGATCCAAACACAAACGGACCTACAGAATTTGAAGAAAAAGCTACCATGTCACATGAGCCGAATCCTCCACGCAAATAAACTATCAATTATAGATAGACAGAAAAGGGAGAAAACCACATACTTGCTCAAGTATGAAAGCTATTTTTTCAGTTTTTGCCATGGCCCCAAATGTTTCCACCTATGGAACAATCAGTCAAAGAAACTAGTGAGGTTGGAAGAAATGTACGATTTGACAAATGCATCAGGCCCAGAATATTTGAATATTATTAATAGAGATCATGTACTGACCGCAACTTCCTGCATCAAGTCAGCTGCCTCAGCTATAAGTCCTTGTTCTTCCTTAATCTTTGCAAGTTTCTTGATCAACCGAGCTCTCTCTATCTCAACATATATCTGTAAGCAATTTGAGAATTATACTAAAATTCGAAGTCCTTAATATAAAAAAATGTGAATGGGATCTCTGCATGAGAATCACCTTCCCAGCAGATACACTGTTAAGAGTTTGGATAAGCTCTATTTTAGTATCAATATCAGGAGTCTGGTCAATATATTGCATTGCTTGCTGGACCATGGATTGTACAGCCTGCATCAAAACATCAAGAATAAAAATCAAACATGACTGCAAACTTCAAGTGGTCAAAGAATCCCAGAAACATCAATTATAACCTGATACATGATAGAAAGGAGTGCTATTTTATAACCTGATTTTTCTTTGGTAAAATCAACCAACCTAAAATAATGATGTTGGAGTACCAACTCCACAGATAGAACACTTACTACCTCATATAGTTGCTAGCCAAAAATATTTTCAACGGGTTTAAGATTTGACCCCATTACGATCGGTCAACAAGAACGCACATGAATTATATTAACTTATTAACATAAAGCATCTGTGTGGGGATCGGATATCCCCATATTCAACTATGGTTAGTAAGTGAATACGTAGGTCTAGCATTTGTGTAGATAAACAAGGGTTTCTACATATCTTGTTTTGTTTTTAGATCAACAAAATAATTTTCTTTAGGTAAAAACATTCCACTATGGATTACGCCATGTAAATGTCTTAGTTCAATTACAAATAGAAATGTTTAACACACAGTAGAAACACAAGATGATTGGCAAAAAGATTTAAAAATACGAGATGTGAGAATAGACATACACAGAAACCATCCCAACCCCTACATAACCAAGGAGACTAAAAAACACAAACTATGGTTTCGAAGTATAAAAGAACTACACAAGTTTATCCTAAACATGTGTTAGAGAACCATAAAGCTTAATCAGACCAACAGACTCGAAAAACATCGCATACCCCAGACAATTAGTCAAGTAAGATCACATTATTTTCATTACCAACATAACCAGTGATATACTTGATCGATGGAGAATAATACAAGGTCATAAAAAGGTGCTAACAGTTTTCTCTGCCCAGTATTATTTTCTTTCATTATGTCAATACTTGACCAACGACCATCATAAGAACATACGAAGTCAAACCCAAAATAAAAGGTACAGTCATTCTTATTTTCCTCGGTCGAATCATAACAACGGTTACAGCTATCAACAAGAGAGAGAGAGAACCAAGAAAATACAAAATTAGCACAAACTACCAGACTTCACCAAAAACAACTTAGTTATAAGCCAACAAAAAAGAAAACCAACTTCCAGAAATCATAATCCATACTGTACGATTCAAGTCGATTATTGGGCATAAATCAGTAATATAAAAGCTGCACATGCGTCCACAATTTTCAACTACAATACAACAGTCTATGAAAATAAATGTACATAAATGCGTAGAAATCGATTAAACCTGCTTCAACTGTCCACGCCGCTTAGAAATAAGCACAATCTGTTCGTTGAGTGTTTTCCACGCGCCGGCTTCAAAGCACAGCTGCATAATGTCGGTGACAGCCTTCCGAGTGCCGGCGATTTCACCCGCTTGCCTCATCTGCTTCTCCACGTTCAGCAGCATCTCAATTTTAGCCTCCAAATCTCCCCCTCCATTTTCCTACAAAATCAAACCCCAAAATTTGACAGAAAAAAAAATTAAAATTATACCACGAGATCCAAAAATGCGTAACGAAACACAAGAAACTGAAGCTAATCGGAATTCAGAAGGCCCCATTTTCGTACCATTTTGATGAAATAGATTCGAGGAACTGGGAAATTTTCGTGCAATCGATGAAAAATCAAACCCTAGAGAGAGAGAGAGAGAGAGAGAGAGAGAGAGAGAGAGAAGGAAGGAGACGAGAGAGTTGAAATCTGTTTTACTGTCCGACTGCCTTTAACAATTAGCACTGGCTAATAAAACTCTACTTTAATTTTTATATTTTCTATTTTTTTTTTTTTGCTTATTATCAGAAAAGCTATATATAATAAATTAATATTTATCAGAAAATTTTAATAAATAACTAGACAATATATTTGGCTTAAAATGTAAACAACAAAAACTTCATTTGACATGGCAAATGCTTCTTCAACTTTTTATCGAAATATCATTAGAAAAAAAAAATAATAAAAAAAGAATATATACGAAAATTTGAAGTACTAGGTTTCGATTTGTATTGGACTCAATTAAAATTATATTAAAAGTACGACATTATTTAAATTTGATGAAGATACATTTATTAAATCGTTTTTAGAAACAATCGATTTAATATTTTTATTTATGGACAATCATGTAACAATGGATAATATTGAATCGAACTTGTGACATTGACATTGATATTACGTGTATGATCTAATCAGTTGTTCTAAAATTAATTGGTGTTAGGATAGACGCGAATTGTCCATGGCAATCAGTTGTAGGCCGCCTATACCCGAGTTTCCCAAATGAACAATTGCTGACAAATCTAGGCTACCGAATATAATTCATTCGATAATCGACATTAACTCAACAAGTACACAATTAATTGATAAATAATCAAATACACATTATAGTAGAGTGCTTTATATCTAATAATTCAATACTTACTTTCAAATCTCGTATTATAAAACTTGTAGGAAAACTTACCTACCAAATGAGGGTTTTTTGGTAAGAAAATAAATAATTGAGTGAGGATTTGTAATTACCCAAACATGAAGGCTTTTTTTCGTAATTTGACCTTAACTCAGGGGTGGTTGTAATTTACCAAAAACCTTTTAAATAAAAAAATTCAAAAATTTAACATCTTACAAAAATGCAGCAACAACAACAACAACAAAGTTCAGTATGTATATTCTTGGATCTACTCGACAGAATCATCGTACCAAAACAAAATCCACGTAGACGAAATCTATCTAATCTGCTCACCGGCTCGTACAGAATCGCGCCGTTGAGAAATCTTTAAAATATCGTTACCTATATCGACACCTTCTTCTACATTTGCTCGTCTATCTTCGACCGTACCGTTCTTTTCAGACACATAGGCAAAATTTGCTACCACTTGATGTGCATACGAACGGAGCTTTATTCTAGAAGGTTCCGTTTTTCCGCAAAATATTTCAACAAAATTGTTCGTGCATCCTCGGTCAAAAGCATTGACCACCCTCGAACCCCCTCTTCTCCGAAAATTTTCATACGTTGTCTGAAAAAAAAAATCAAGAATGTCTATATAACAACAGCCAAGGGATGTGTGTGTGTGTGTGTGTGTGTGTGTGTGTGTGTGTGTGTGTGTTTCTGACCTGATTGGAGCAAATAAGATAAAGATGGAAGAAAGTGAGGCCTCCGATAAACCAGAGAAGAACGAAACAATATGCGATTAATACGAGCGATGCTGGCGACTCTTTTATAGCTTTCAAAATGGTAGCGTGTTTATTTATAAGCAATTTCATGTGCAGAGCCGACATAGAGAATACGGTTATACAGAGAAGTGCCGACGAAGAAACAAAGAGGAAGAAAGTACGATAGTTCCGCTGCATGTGTCGAAAAATACGGTACGTTAGCTTTTATTATCACAAGAAAAAAATATTCGAAAGAAAGACGTAAGTACCTTTCCAATGCATTGACCGACCCAGGGGCAATGATGGTCAAACCTCTCGACACAATTATCGCATATCGAGCAGTGAGAGCATCTCGGAGGACGGTAAACCATGCACGTTTCGCAATACTTAACTCTCACGGGAACGCCGTTCACGAAAACTTCTTTCGAACGAGGGAATTGCAAGTTTTCCGAGAGTTTTCCACCGACTTCTACCGAAGCCGAAGACTCGTATCCTCCAAATTCTTCTGATGGAGGGTTTGTACTTCGAGGTACAACTCCGGGATCACGAGCCGATGTCAAAAATAGAAGTATCAATACCTATTATTTACCGACGAGACAAGAATTATAGGATTGAATAATCAAGTTCGTCGTGTTTTTAACAGATTTGGTGAGAAAGATACGGAATACTTACGTATATGGTGAGAAAAATAACGAGGAACAGAATTGCGTATCCTGCATTATACGAATGAAGTTCGTGGAGAAGTTTCGTTGCAACTAGAGCACAAAAGACGAAAACGGGGGCTAATATAAGTAGTAAGGTAAATATCAAGGAGCCGACGTCTGGTCCGAACATCAACCTCCCACCAAAGAAGAATTTCTGCACGAAGAAAATCGAAGCCCACAATTAATTGCACACGTAAATTTTCAAGAAATGCAAAAACATACGCTCGCACATGAACACTAATCCAAAGGTTCGATTTTCGATATTGGATGTTGCGTATCATTTTTTAGAGGTAAAAATTTATTGGAAAACAAAAAAAAATTAATATAATTAATAGAAGTTGAACTCGGATTACGGGACTATCAAAATTATCGTATTAAAGCTTAAACAAGCAACTCACTCCGAAACGACCTAATACGTTTTACTATCAAGAAACGTACCATCTTACGACAAGTGTTCGATGAAAAGTTGTTCTCGTATATTCAACAGTAGAACACTAATTCCTTCAAATTGTAGCATCAAAATAAAAGATTAAACTAACTTGAATGAGCATGGAATTGTGATATAAAATTCAGACAAATTTACGGATACGCCACCATACATTGTGGCAAGAGATCACTTCTTAAACAATCTCCCGGCCCCGTTATCGAAAGAACCGGCAGGATAACTCAGGCAATAGAGTAAAAGAACTCGAAAAAGGCAAAAAGATAATACAGAAATTGGAAGTAATTGACACACACACACACAGTCAAATGGGTTCAAGAAGCTTATATACAATTACACACACACACACAGTCAAATGAGTTCAAGAAGCTTGTATACAATTACACACAAAGTTCAGTTACACGAATCCAGGAATTAGAACTGAATTAAAGTCATTTAGCTGTATCAGAGAGAGAGAGAGAGAGAGAGAGAGAGAGATCTGCCCAGCAAGTCCCATTTCATAATATCACCAAACAATAATGAAAAATGATAATAACTAAAATGCACATTACATTAACAGAGTTAACAGAAACCCACCAAAAATCTTTCATCCATAAAAAAAAAAAGGGGGTGGGGGGGGGGGGGTTGCCGGTTGGGGGTGGATAGATATGAGAAAGAAGAGCTTACATTCTTCCCTTTCCACACCTGATACACTCGTTTGGGCTCTTCCATCAATTAGGGTTTACTATTCATGCTCCATTCCTTCAAAAATAAAAAAACAGCGATTTGATGAAAATATTTAAAGGGTTTCGTGATAAAAATGGCGCTCTGTTATTCAAATGTTTGAATTGAATGACTTTCTTTATTTTTCTTATCTTTTTCTCGTCTTCAAATTTCTAGAAGCAAAACGCTTAATTAATTGCATTTTGCCCCCTCTCCTTATAATATTATACATAAAACCCCCCAACAATTTACCTTTTATAATCTTTCTTGCCCATTATTTGTAAAAATTATAATTATCCTCCCCAAAATTTTCGACCTTCGTAAACCCGAAAAATAAATAAAATATCTAAATCGCCTATTGAAAAAGGAAATATCTAGAACCGTCAATGATTGGTGAACCGGCAGATCCATTTGCAATCCCTTTGGAAATATTACTTGAATCGTAATTATTTTCGATGTTTCAAATACTTCATACATTACCCAATTATAAATCATACAAATCTACGAGATATGTCGTATTATAAAAGTCTCTCACTTATTTGCAAAATTATATTTATTCCCATAAGACTCATATACCATCGACTTTATAATTGTAGGTTCATGTTCAACTCATATATTATTTTGGACTTCGTGTTAATATTCAGCTCAAATAAGATTATTAATATTAATATCTTTTAATTATTAGAGAAAATTTACAAATTACTTGAATACATGTGAATTACCTAATTTTACGAGGAGCAAAAAAATTTATGTTTCATGCATAATGCATAATTTAAAATATAATATCAAAGATGAAAGTAATTATGAAAAAGCTAATTATTTGAAAAATTACAGTTTTCATCCCTCAAGTCTGCTTCGATTTCAGATTTGGTCCCCCATGTTCATACAAAATACATTTCGTCCCTCATGTTCCAATTTAATATTTTTTGTCATTTCCGTTAGTTAATGCATGATGGGCACACGCTTGATTCCGTTAGTTTTAACGGGAAATTGACGGAAATGACTAAAATGTTGAATTTTTGAAACATGTGGGACTAAATGTAAAATCGATGCAAACTAAAGGGACAAAACTGTATTTTTCCCCTAATTATTCATTAACAAAAAATACTTTTGCCAAATAGTGTTTATTTGTATAAAAAAAAAAAATTAATAATAATTTTCTTATTTAGAATCCCAGTGTATCGCAAGGGAAGGATTTGAAGTTCCGAAATAAAACCCATCTTTTCTTACAGACCATTGACAAACCCCATGTAGTTCCTCCTCCTCGTAATCACAATTGTAACTCAAATCGTAGTTATAAACTTCGAAAGCTATATCTTTTTCGCCCCACCAAAAATGACAAAAGTACATTGTAGTCCACCAAAAGTTGACGCAGAATTTCCAATGGAATTCTTCGTTCGGTCGAAGCGTATGAAACCCGAAGTCGGTATCTTTAGAAGCGCAATGGATTTTCAGCGGCGCACTTTTGCTAGGGAGATTATTGACAACGTGAACTTGGTACACTGGAGTTATTACTGAGCATGACGAAAAGGCTTTAAACATGAAAAGATTGAATACTACGAGAAATAGCGATAATTTTTGCTCGTACTTTGCAGTTGATTTACACATCTTGAAGTTTATATAATAATCTTGGCCGGTATATTTCATATGAACATGGAATATATGAGTTGGGGAAGATTGTGACAATTAGTGCAAGCGTTACATTTTTGTGTCATCACTCATACTTAATTACAATTAGTTTAACATTTAATTTAAAATTTAAAACATCAACATGCAATTAGTGATTCTTTGTCGTATGGATGGAGTAATTCCTTTATTACAAATTTACCATTCGCCACTACGATCAATTACTCAGTATTTGATTTTTTTTCAATTTTGTTTTTAATTTTAATTTATTTTTCTTAATTTTCGGTTTTTTTCCAGAATAAGAGCAACTCCAATGGAGTTATTAAATGAGTTATCAAATCTCTTAACTACCATTTGATAATTATTTATATAGGATGTATTTTTACTTCCGCATATTTGAGTTATCAAAATAGAACCCTATTTTAATAACCCCGTTGGAGGATAGAGTTTTTAAATTTGGGGAGTGAAATGGAGGTTAAGGGATTTGATACCCCATTTAGAGTTTTTAAATTTGGGGAGTGAAATGGAGGTTAAGGGATTTGATACCCCATTTAATAACCCATTGCGGTTTCTCTGAAAATACATCCTAGATAAATAGTTATAAAATATTCTCCTAAAAAATAGGAGCACATGAAAAAAGAAAAACCTCAACAAAATTGAGTTTTCTTTTCTTTACGTATAAATCTCAACAAAATTAAATTAAATTTTCTCTGCGTCTTCATCAAATTTTCACGGGAAAAAAATAAAAATTCTTTGTATATATAATAAGTTAGCTACATCAAAATTCTCCACACAATCATCAAAGGCCGACTCGGTGTATTAATCACCATTGAAGACACTTCAAGCAATTTCTAGGTTTTCTTAACTTTTTAATACTTTTTATGATCGGAAACTCCAAGCAATTCTTTTTAATACTTTTTTATTTTTTTATGATTGTCTTCTTTACATTGCTTGCACATTAATGACAATAAAATTAGATGAAGATATATAGATAATTTAATATTAATTAATATTTTTTTTCTCTTTGAAAAGGTGAAAACTTGATTAAAATTGAATTTAATGAAATTTTACCACAAAAATCGGTTCGTATGATTATTTAAAATGGATTAAAAAATAAATAATATATAAATAATCATCAATTTTTTTATAATTGTTTTTTGATACTTGTGGTTGTAATTCACTAGTTGTATAGAGATATCAAAATATAATTCTTGTAAATATTAAAACAGTTGGAGTGATACTTGTGGTTGAAATTTTTAATATTAATGATTGATAACTACAATATTTCTTAAATCTAACTGCAATTTTTTTTTTTTGTTTATTCTTTTTTCAAGCAAGTTTAGCAAATTGAAAAATTACTACATAATATTAAAAACAATTACAAAAATTGAAATCGACTACATAAAAATTACAAAAATTGAAATAGCAGAACCCGAAATAAAATAGTTGAAATTAAAAACAACTAGATTGATATTTTCAAATTTGAACTACAAAATTATCAATATCAACAACAAAATTTCACAAACAAACATCTCTCTATTACTGATTGAACAGAAATCGGTATTTCAAAACAATACGAATCAACTGCAATTTAATTTTTTTGTTTATTCTTTTTATAAGTTTAGCAAACTGAAAAATTACTACATATTATTAAAAACAATTACAAAAATTGAAATTGACTACAAAAAAATACAAAAATCAGAAATAAAAGAGTTAAAATTAAAAACAACTAAATTGATATTTTCAAATTTGAAATATTAAATTACCTAAACCATTGAATAATTAAATCGAACTACAACCAACACAATTTCACAAACAAAATTCAATCTTACGAAACAATACAAAACTTCCCACAATTCCGAACCAAAAACTCGAAAAGAATGATATTACAAATCTGCACCGAAAAGAAACACTAAATTGAAATCGAAAAATTCAGACAACCACCGAAATAAACAAGAAATTAATAAATTTAATAAAACAAGAAAAAAATCGAAAACTTTGATATGAATTGAAGGAAAAATCTCAGACATCCAAGGAAGGAAAAAACAGCATAAGCTCTCAAGCCCGGCGAAAGGCGAAAGCTCTTAGGCGGCCACTGCGAATGTATTGAGAAACAAGCCTTATGGATTATCATCATCGATATTCACATTACTCAAATTAATCACAATTAACAATCAATTAAATTTCTTTACCATCTTATATGGCCAGCAAATTATTGAATTAAAAAAAATTAAAAAAAGCTGACAAAGTGACAGATGGATATTGAATTTGAGGGACTTGTTCTTCCCTCTGAACTGCACTAAAATTTTTCCAAAAGCTTAGAAGGGCATACATATGTCCCAATTGATATTATTTTTTTAAATAAATAAAAAAGAACGAATTTTTATTTGAAATTTTAATAATTGAAAGTGTCTCAGACATCCAAGGAAGTATAGTTCAGCATATACTCTCGAGCCCGGCGAAGGGCGAAAGTTCTTAGACGGCCACTGCGAATGTATTGAGAAACAAGCCTTGATTTTTTCATCATTGACACTATAATTCAACTAATTATCCGAACAAACTCGACGAAAAATAAAAACTAAATTAAAACCTAATTTCATATTGAGGCTGAATTTTGAACCAATCGAGAAAAGAAAAGGGGGATTCGATGAATTGTACACACATCGATGAATCGGAAAATTAAATAGATAAATAAATAATTAAGCAAAAGTACAAGACTTCATTTTTTTTTTTATCAATGACACAAATTCAATAAGTCATCGCAAAAAAATCGACGAAAAACAAAAATTACGACCTAATTTTATAGGAAGAGTGAATTTTGAACCAATCAGAAAGAAAAAAAAACCAAATCGGAGAAGGGGGGAACGATGAATTGTGCACAGATCGATGAATCGGAAATATAAATTAAAAAAATTAAAAAAAAAAGCAAAAATACATACTGATTGAAAGGGTCTCAGACATCCAAGGAAGAATGAAACAGCAGAAACTCTCAAGCCCGGCGAAGAGCGAAAGTTCTTAGGCGGCCACTGCGAATGTATTGAGAAACAAGCCTTGATTTCTTCATCATCGACCCTAAATCAGTTATAATTCCATCGGAATTTTTTTAAGCAAAACGGAAAATCAAATAATTACGATCAACATTCCTAAGCATAGTTATTTAGAGAGAGAGAGAGAGAGAGAGAGAGGAATTGATACATTGCTGAATAGAATAGGTGAAGAAGGGGAGTGTTTATATAGAAAAGGGGGATTAGGGTTTTTCTAGGGTTTAACTCAGAGTCGAATTATCTGGAAAGTTTGAGCCCATTTTTATGGCTCATGGGCCTGGCTGTTGGCCGACAAGTTTTTTTTTTTTTTTTTTTTTAAAATATAAATTCAAATGAATACTTTCAATTTCTCTCTCCATCTATATACAAATTTCAAGATATAATAGGATTAATTATATTTTTCAACTTTAAAAGTATTTAAAAATAACTTATTTTGGCCCTTTAAACCTTCATAAAAAAAAAAAATTGTTGCACTTTGCATCCTCCAAGAACATATTGCCCAATTTGTTTTCTTCAAAACACTTTTGAATGAACCAAATACAATCTAATCTAATCTAATCCGGTCGATCTAACCGAACATGGCATAAATCTTATATAATTAAAATAATATTTTACTGGATAATTTATTATTTAGCTAGGAACTCATACAATATATTAGGGGTGGGTGGGTGACATTGGTATCGATACCAAAGTTTTTTTTATTAATTATAGTGTGTCACTCGTAACTTATGTAATGAGATATTTCACATTGTTATCTTACCAAAACATTCGGTATACCAATACCGTTACGAATGGTCCGATACACTGGTACATGATACTCTATCATTATCTTGTATTAAACTTAAAATTGAAAAACAAATAAAATTGTTGATTCTAACCACCAATGAATCCAGT